GTTCAAAAAATCTTCAAAAATTCCATCAATAGATCATTACTCTTTTCAAATATAAAGATAATATTATGTATACATATAAGTAATTTTTTTTTTCATTTATACTACTAATAAAAGTACTTTAGCATGAAAAACTTTCAAAAATACTTTAGTATGAAATTTTTTTTTTGATTCAATATTTTATTCTCATAAACAATTTTAAAATACTACACTATCCTTTTATAGTTAAATATTTAAATTACCATCATATCCTTATATTTTTAAATCTCCAAATTACCTTTACTATGTCTTTTATTCTCTCTATTCTCAATGTAAAAATATCAATATCTATGAAACTTTTTAATTGACTATGTTACACTTAAAAAATATAAAAAAATCTTCAAAAACATTATCAATTTAACATTATTCATTTCAAATATAAATATAACATTATGTCTACATATGCATATTTTTCATTCAAAACTTCAACCATTTCATTTTTAAGATAAAAAATAATCATTAATGTAGTTTTTTTAAAAAAATAATTTATGTTAAATCAACATAATTCTTCAATCACGATAAACTTTTCATGTTTTATTAAGAGTTTATATAAAAATATATTATAATGTATTTTTAAGTAAATCTTGAATTTTAATATTCTTTTAAAATATATTAGAGTAGCTATTTTATTTTAGGGTTAATAGAACTTTTAGTCCCTAAAATATACATATTTTGTCAATTTATTCATTATTGTATTAATTTTGTCAATTTGGTACATAAAGTATTTAATTAGTATTTAAATGATTCATACAAAAACAACTTTTTAAGTTTTTTACAGTAGTGATCACATGTTGGTCACTGCCGTCAAAGAACTTAATAGACCATCTGATTAAGGACCATTTAAACAAGAATTAAATATTTTATGGACAACATTCATATATTGAGGACTACACTGACAAAACGTGCACACTTTAGAGACCAAAAGTTCTATTTACCCTATATTTATCCCTATTGATGTAACTAATTCTTAATTATAATAAGCATTGATTAGAACATTGATAAATATTTTTATTTTATTCAATTAATTATATTTTTAACCCTAATCAAATGATTTTCAAATGAATTATGAATAGAAAAATATAAATTTTATTTTGATAGAGCACGACTCGTGCTGTCCTGAGTAGAACGACAATAAAGGAGAAGCCGGATATGATATATAGATAGCTATATATTCACGTGTTTAATAAACACAACCCTTCTTATGCACTTTCCAATTGCATTCTATGAATTCTACTAAGGTGGGGCAAGTTCTTCTATTCTGGTTCATGATTTTTTTTGGCTAAATAGTTCATCCGAGGGAGAGATCGAGCTTCAAGAAATAGTTAACGATCTAATCAATAATTGTATAACTCCCTAGAAATTTCAATTGCACTCATATTCATTGATGTAGGAATTGGGTTCAAGCTTTCTATCTTTCTTTTTATAGTTAGAATGACAAATCATTGGGAACATAAATTTTTTTCCCAATTCTATACTATAATACGAGTAATAAAAATATTATTTTAATAAACTTAAGATGATATTTAATTTAAGTATATATATACCTAATACTTTTTATAAATATTTTGTATACAAAAATTATTTAAGTGTAACACACTTAGTGTATTGCTAATAGGAAAGTAAATATTCAACACTTCCCCTCAAGTTAGAACATAGACATAAAAAATTCTCAGTTTGGAATAACAATTACTTAAGGTGGACCACGCCAATGGTGTGGTAAAAATATCATCAAGTTGATCATAAGACTTTATATAAGGAGTTAACGAAATGCCTATCAACTTCAATGTGTTTGGTAGGTTGATAAAATAATGGATTACTGATAATAAAAATGGTTGTCTGCTTGTCACAATACATCTGCATAGGAGACGACACATCAACACCGATCTCACAAAGTAGACAGCGAACCCATAACATCTCACGTCTATCCATGACACAAAACTCAGCCTCCGCACTAGAAAGTGCCACTACATTTTGTTTTTTACAGCGCTAAGTAACAAGATTACCACCAACAAATAAAAGTATGTGTCTATTAGCATGACTGCCTCACCGATTTTGGTAAGCAAAAATAAAAGTAGGTCCCAAGAGTACTTGTTGATCTCTTTATTGCCTAATCGATTTGGGTAAGTAAAAATAAACACTGCTTTAAACAAACATCTGAATTCTCGATTCAGCACTCCATATACACTGTTACAACAAAATACGTTTTCTTTGATTCCTTTTCTGTTCTTTTATACCACAAATGGAATATGTTTAAATTAGCATGTTGTGAAACCCCAAGTGGTCAATATTTGCTTTCCTTCATTCTATTTCAAGAAACATTTTTTCCAGGCTTCTTTCTTCTTCACGTCCTTTGTTCTACATTAGTTAGAATACTGTCTCATGTTACTCATTTTAGGTTTCCTATTCTACTACAATGTCTTTTCCTAGGACAGTTCTTGTTGGGCCACACTAGGAAAATAACTAAATAATTTCCTAGTTCACTAAGAACATGGGTCCATGCTATTAGTGGGGTTAAATGTACAAAACTTCTGGGAACTTAAGCCACCACAAATCTGTTCTTGGAAATGGAGGGTCTCTCTGACGAAGGGAGAAACCTATACCACTTACCAAGCACATCACTGCAAGTGGGAAAGGAGCAAATCTATGGTATCATGATATCGCACGGACCAAATCTTACTGAATGGAGCCCCAGAACAGTGTATCCCTCCAACTCCCAAGTCAGTTCAATCATTTACGAGGGACAGTGGAGATTGAAATTAAGATTCAGAAGAGGTATGGCACAGACTGGTTTACTTTGGCAAAACCATATGGTCCATACCAATGATGATTTTCATACTATGAGTTGGCAGTAAATGAAAAACTGACACTAAAGATAAAACACAAGCTTATGCAAAACACTTGCGGACAGCTCGTGTGTTGTGCAGAACCACAAGAAGAAGTCACAAGTCACTCTCATCTCTTCTCCAAATGTGAGATCTCAGCTAGAGCTTGGCCTCTTATTCTCCTGAATTGTGGTAAATCCTGGTCACATATTTCTTGTTATCATTCATAAAAGAGGCAACAAGAAGCTGAAAAAGGGAACACCGGATGGCCTACTTAAAAGACTGTCCCCTGCAGTAACAGCCTACTAGTTATGGAGGGGCAGAAGCAACAGTGTCCAAATGCATACAAGGATCCAACATCTGAAGAGACCCAGAACTGTGCAACAATTAGGAATAAATTGATGTCCCTGAAATTTAAAGATTCAGTCCACTCCTGAGGCGGTTTTGTAACGTAATATGAACACTTTTTAAAAACCATCCAACTCAAAACCAATTAGTAATTAGTGGAAATGCTGTCAAGGCTCATTTAGGATTTTGGGAAGTGTTGATTTATCAATGTGGAACAAGCCCTAATATACACCACATATGCGTCCCCTACTTGCACATGGAGAGATAACAGAAGAATCAGCAGACAAAATTTAAAGACAAACAATGAATTTATGACACAAACATAGACGGAATCAAAGAAATTGAATCTTTCCCAACAGATTGTCCGAATGCATACAAATTGTCATAACGATTAGGATTAAACTATATGAACATTTTTCCATAGGCGTCCAACTCAAAACCAATTGGTAATGAGTGTAGATGCCCTCAAGGCTCATATACAAGTTTGGAATGATTTATTTAAGTGAAGACGTAGGCACCCTCACCAATTCCTACAGCTCCATGGATTGACATTAGCATGACTTTTCTGTTGGGTTTACCAGTGAACAGCAAGGTGAGAATGTTTTTTGTTGTTGACCGTTTCTCAAAGATGACTCATTTTATTTCGTAGAAAGAGACATTTGTGCATCGAGGAATCCAAATCAGGTTGTTGACCATCTAGATGTATCAATTCAGTCGCAAGCTAGTGATAATGCTATTTCTTATGTAGAAAATTTGAAGGAGATTCAAGAAGAGGTTTGAAAGAAGTTGATGGCAATGAATCGCTACAAAGAGGTTGTTGCTCGTCATCGGAGGTTTAAAGACTACACAGTTGGGGATTATTAAGTCATGATTTTCCTTCTACAGGAAAGGTTTCCAGCAGTTACTTATGATTTTAAGACCAAAAAGATCAGTCCTTGCAAAATCTTGCATAACTTTGGTGAGAATGCATACAAAATTAAGCTCCTTCATGGCCTAGAAATATCACCTATCTTTAATGTGGTGGGTATCCATAGTTTTCATGGTGGTCTAAAGGTTAAAAAAATCCAACCTGATTAAAGAGAAGGATCAGATTGAAAGCATGATTCAAGTACAAGAAATCAAGAACATAGCTGGTGCCTACTTCCAAATCCAGGTCAAATAGGTCAGAAAGCCAGATTTTGAGAATTCATGGATAAGTGAAGTTGATTTTCTGACTATTACTCCAGAGATGTGTCAAGTAGGCAACTCACACGGAGGCAGGTTCTTGGGGTTTTTTTTGGGGGAGGAGGGGGGGGGTGTGGAAAGATGCAAATCTTGTATATGTGTAGTAATATTTATGAGCCATGTGCACTAGCCACCATTGTCGAGGAACTAGTAGTTTTCCAACCAAGTCCAAGGGTGTTTCTAGACAAGGTAGCAACATGCGCCAACATACCATGGTTGTCGATCCCCTCACATTCCCTCCTTTTCCTTTTAAAAGGTTTTCGATAAAGACAACACATCTAGCCCCCCCATTGCTGCACAACCCAAGCATAAACAGTTGGCGAAGTCCATGGGTGTCTTGATAATGTAACAACACGCATTCCATGGATGTTGTTCCAACTCGTTCTCACTCCTAATCCCCCGATACAGACTTCACATGTAGCATCCATCGCCATTGTCAAGGCACAGGCAGTTTTCCAACCAATTCCAACTCGTCCCTCCCTCTTATCATCTCTCCTTTTCCTTTTAAAAACTTTTTGATAGAGACTACACGAGTAGCCCCCTGTCCCCATCACTAAGGCACAAGCGATCATGCAAGCGTGCCTAGCGTTGCATTATGTTGGTCGTGGCCATGTGTTAGCCATTTGGGTAACATGCATTCCATGGATGTCGCTCCAACTCGTCCCCGCTCCTAATCCCTCACTTCTTATTAAAGCGTGTTCGATAGAGGCTGCACGTGTAAGCCCCGCACGAATGGTCAACAAACTCAATGGGTGCCTTGACAACAGAGCAACATACTCTAGCGTTTGTCAGCGTAGGCATTAGCCTTGACAACTAATATGCTGATGCGTAGCCATTGGATGGTTGGACCAACCTGACCGAATTTGGAAGCTTAAGCCAAAGGCAAAGAATTTTTGGTCCAAAGGGAAATGTACTTGGTAAATTTGTTAGGATTTTTATTTGTTCTTTTTATTATTTATTATTTGAATTTTCAGTTAGATAGTATTTATCAGATTAAGATTAGTAGGGATAAGTTGACATGGTTTTAGTATAAGAGTAGTTCATTTATGATAGGACATTTGGTCTATAAATAAGAATGTATTCCACATTATTTGAATCAGAGTTGAATATAAGTTTGGAAATTCTCAGCAGAGATTTGTGTTTGTTGATTTAATTCTTGCAAGGATTGGTTATACCCTTTCTTTCCCTCCCTCTCTGCATCAATTGGTATCAGAGCAAAACTCCGATCCATCTACCTCTTGCTATTTCTCTTTATTCTCTACGGGTAAGTTGAGAAAATTAACACAATATTAAAGAAAGATAGAGAGTGGTCAAAAACTTAACCTACCTCACACAAACTATTTATATTTATAATTAACTCGTAATCATACAAAAGACGTATATATCCTCTAGTATTTACATAATACCCTAACACTCTTAACACTCCCCCTTAAGCTGGACTATATATATCATATAATTCAAACTTGGAACAAATGACTGGAAGACGTGTACAACTCAATGTTCTGGTAAACATATCGCAAGTTGATTCTCGGATCTCACAAATGGAGTCGTAATATCTCTAGCTATTATCTTGTCTCGAATAAAATGACAATTAACCTCAATATGTTTGGTTCTCTCGTGAAATACTGGATTAGCAATGATTTGAATAACTGTCTGATTGTCACAGAACAACTGTAAAGGAGGTTGAATTGGAAAGCCAATTTCTTGGAGAAAGTGTAGTAGCCACGTCAACTCACTCGTTGTATATGTCATTACTCTATATTCAGTCTCAGCACTGGATCTTGCTACCACGGGTTGTTTCTTACTCTTCTATAAGACAACGTTACCTTCTAAGATAGTACAATAACCAGTGGTTGATCTCCGATCAAAAGGAGAACTGGTCCAATCAGCATCTGAAAAACCTTCCATTCTAAGATGTCTATTAGCCCAATATAACAGCTCAAGACCAAGAACATGTTTGAGATATCGCAGAATACAAGTAACTGCCTCTCAATGTGATACTCTAGGGCATCCCATTAACTGACTAACTATGCTAACTGCATCGGAAATATCCAATCGAGGAATAGTGAGATAATTAAGCTTTCCAACCAACCTACGATATCGACCCGAATTCTCAAACAGTGCAACATCATCTATCAACAATTTTTGATTCGGATCCATAAGAACATCAACTGGTCTGCCACCCAGCAAACTTGATTCCTCTAGCATGTCAAGTACCCTATTTAGATCTAGCAATCTCAATACCTAAGAAATATCTGAGTTTTTCTAAGTCGTTAGTATAAAATCGGTCTTGTAAGAAAGTTTTTAACTTGACAATCCCCTCATAATTATTTCTAGTAATCACAATATCATCTACATAAACCACCAATAAAATATATCCGACATCCGTATGTCTATGAAACACGGAGTGGTCTGTTTGATATCGAAGAAGATCAAACTCTAAAACGGCCTCTAAAAACTTATTAAACCATGCCCTCGATAACTGCTTCAAACTATACAGCGATTTCTTTAACCGACATACACGCTTACATTACTCCCCCCGAGCAGTAAACCTAGGTGGCTGCTCCATGTAGACCTTTTCAACCAAGTCACCATGTAGGAAGACATTCTTGATATCTAACTGAAACAAGGACAAATCAAGATTAGTAGTCAAAGAAATCAATATACGAACAAAAGAGATTTTGACAAGAGGAGAGAAAATCTCCTCATAATCAACACCATAGGTCTAAGTAAAGCCTTGGCAACAAAACGGGCTTTCAAACGTTCCACAGAACCATCCAGATTAAATTTAACAGTATACACCCAACGACAACCAACAGTTCGTTTACCAGGAGGTAAAGGAACAAGATTTCAAATCCCATTATGATGTAAGACATCCATCTCCACTTCCATAGTTTTCTTCCAATCCAGATCAGACAACGCATCCAGTAAGTGCTTAGGAACAAAGATAGTAGATAATTGAGAGGTAAAACAAAAGAAGATAGGAGAAAAGACATCATATGAAACAAAATAAGCAATGGTATGGTTAGTAACACATGAGCGAGTACCTTTTCGAACAGAAATAGGTAAAGAGTCTAAATTATCTGATGGACCAGGATCAGGAGTTCGCAAGAAAGATGGTACGGGTACCTTAGTCGATGGTCGAGGACGACGAGAGTATACACGAATTAGAGAAGTAGATGGTAGTACAGTAGGTAACAGAATATCTGACGATAAGGGAAGAGGCGGTGATATAAGGGACGGCCCAAAGTCCAGATCCAAAGACTGAGCAGGTGCCGAAAAATACAAAAAAGACTCATCAAAAGTGACATCAGCACTGAAGTACCGATGAAGGAAATAACTATAGCAACGATACCAATTATGTGTGCTGGAGTATCCAAGAAAGACATATTTGGTAACACGAGGGTCAAGTTTATCAAACCCAGGGTCCAAGTTGTGAACATAACAGACATATCCAAAAACCTTAAGAGTTAAGAAAAATAAGGACTTACCTAGAAAAATAACAGAATATGGACTTTGCTCATTTAACATAGTGGATGACATACGATTATAAGATGACAAGCAGTGAGAATAGCATCACTGCAAAAACAATAGGGAACATTCATCTAAAATAACAGTGCACGGGTGACTTCCAACAAATGACGGTTCTTGTGCTCAACGACACCATTCTGCAAAAAGATGTGAGTACATGAAGTCTAATGAATAATGCTAATTTTACTAAGATAAGTTGAAAAGGGATCAGATTCATATTCTTGAGCATTATTAGAACATAAAATACAAATACGACAACCATATTGGATTTTCATTTCCTTATGAAAGACCTCAAATATAGAGAATAATTCAGAACGNTCAAATCCCATTATGATGTAAGACATCCATCTCCACTTCCATAGTTTTCTTCCAATCCAGATCAGACAACGCATCCAGTAAGTGCTTAGGAACAAAGATAGTAGATAATTGAGAGGTAAAACAAAAGAAGATAGGAGAAAAGACATCATATGAAACAAAATAAGCAATGGTATGGTTAGTAACACATGAGCGAGTACCTTTTCGAACAGAAATAGGTAAAGAGTCTAAATTATCTGATGGACCAGGATCAGGAGTTCGCAAGAAAGATGGTACGGGTACCTTAGTCGATGGTCGAGGACGACGAGAGTATACACGAATTAGAGAAGTAGATGGTAGTACAGTAGGTAACAGAATATCTGACGATAAGGGAAGAGGCGGTGATATAAGGGACGGCCCAAAGTCCAGATCCAAAGACTGAGCAGGTGCCGAAAAATACAAAAAAGACTCATCAAAAGTGACATCAGCACTGAAGTACCGATGAAGGAAATAACTATAGCAACGATACCAATTATGTGTGCTGGAGTATCCAAGAAAGACATATTTGGTAACACGAGGGTCAAGTTTATCAAACCCAGGGTCCAAGTTGTGAACATAACAGACATATCCAAAAACCTTAAGAGTTAAGAAAAATAAGGACTTACCTAGAAAAATAACAGAATATGGACTTTGCTCATTTAACATAGTGGATGACATACGATTATAAGATGACAAGCAGTGAGAATAGCATCACTGCAAAAACAATAGGGAACATTCATCTAAAATAACAGTGCACGGGTGACTTCCAACAAATGACGGTTCTTGTGCTCAACGACACCATTCTGCAAAAAGATGTGAGTACATGAAGTCTAATGAATAATGCTAATTTTACTAAGATAAGTTGAAAAGGGATCAGATTCATATTCTTGAGCATTATTAGAACATAAAATACAAATACGACAACCATATTGGATTTTCATTTCCTTATGAAAGACCTCAAATATAGAGAATAATTCAGAACGAACTTCCATAAGAAACAACTAAGTCACACGAGAATAACCATCCACAAATGACACAAAATAAAGATATTTATTAAATGAAATATTCTTTATTAGACCTCATACATCATAATGTACTAACTCAAATAGACTAGATACACTATTATTGACTTTAGACTAAAATGACACACAATAATGCTTACTAAGTTGACAAGTTTCACAAGACACAGACGACACATAACTAAGACTTAGAACTTGACGCTTCAAATTCTGGAGAGAGGGGTGTCTAAGACGACAATGCCATTAAAAAGGGGACGACGAGGTCTGTAGAGTCTGAGTAGGTGAATCAAAGTCAAAGTATTAGAGCCCATCAGCTTCATGCCCCGTACCACTCTTCCTCTTTATCTTGAGATCCTGAAACACACAATAAGAGGGATAAAAGGTTACAGAACAATTAAAAGAACGGATAATATTGCTAATGAAAAGTAAATTAAAAGGAAACTGAAAGACAAATAACATAGAGGATAGGGGCATATCAAGACTCAAGTGAGTAGTCCCCACACCTGAAACTTTAGAGCAAGTACCATTAGCAAGAATAATACCGTGTGTGGAAATAGCAGACTGATAAGTAGAAAAGATACTAGACGCACCAATCATATGATCAGAAGTATAAAAGTCTATGATCTAAGGACTGCGAGTAGAGGACAATAAACAAGTGAAAGCGGTACTTGACTGGACAAAAATAGCAATGGAGAAAGATGGAATAGCCTATTGCTGGGACAGGAATTGAGCATACTCCTCTCATGTTAGAGTAACTGACCTAGAGTCAGGTGAAACTGACCAAGGTATAGAAGCAACAATCGAGGTGTCATCCTGATTGGAAACCTGATTAGCAGCACTAGAAGGTTTGTCATGTAAATCCCAACAGAAATCAACAGTGTGCCCTCCACGACCATAGTAAATACAAGAA